GCAACCACATGGTGGCTCACAACCATCTGTAATGAGGTCTGGTGCCCTCTTCTGGCCTTCAGGCATACACGCAGAAAGAATATTGTATACTAAATAAATAAATAAATATTTAAAAAAAATATATAACTTAAGCGTGCTGGGTGTGGTATAATCACCCGGGAGCAGGTTCCTGGGACCAGAGACATCAGATCCCATTAAGAGATGGAATATAGACAGTTGTAAACCCCTTTGAGTGCTGGGAACTGAACTCACATCCCCCGCAAGAGCAGTATGTGTAGGTGCTGTATCATCTCTCCAGCCCCTAAATTTCTTCACTGAACACACTCTATATCTAATCTACTTTAATCTATTCTTTGAAAGAAATTTCTCTCTGTTGACAGACACTCTAATAAAGAAGACACTTCTTTTTTTTTGTTTGTTTGTTTATTTGGTTTTTCGAGACAGGGTTTCTTTGTAGCTTTGGAGCCTGTCCTGGAACTAGCTCTTAGAAACCAGGCTGACTGCCTCTGCCTCCCAAGTGCTGGGATTAAAGGTATGCGCCACCACTACCCAGCCTTTTCTTTGTTTTTGTTTGGTTTTGTTTTTCGAGACAGGGCTCCTCTGTTTAGCTATAGCTGCCCTAAAATTCACTCTATAGACCAGCATGGCCTCAAGTTACAAAGATCCGTCTGCCTCTGCCTCCTGAGTGCACCACCATGCAAGACAAGACTGGGGGTAGTGGCATAAGCTTTTAATCCTAGTGTTCTAGTAGCAGAGGCAGGTGGATCCCACCATCTTAATAGAAAAATGGGCTGTCAAAGTTGGCAAGATGTCTCAAAGGGTAAAAGTGTCTGACTGTCAAGCCTGAAGTTCTCCAGGACCCACAAGACAGAAGGATACAACTTGTAAATCCTGGGAGGGGTCCTATGACCTCCATATACTCATGTGTCCACATCCAAAAATAAATAAATAAAAGCATAAAAAAACCTTTCAACAACACTTGCCCAAGTAATAAATAACATGATTATTAAAAAGTGTTAAATGGTAATATATGCCTCATGGTAGCTATTCCAAGTCAGAAAGGTAAAAGTTGCCAAATTAATTTTCTCATACTTAAAAACTAGTTTTTGTCAATCACATATTATCAATGAGTTATTTATTGAATGCTTACTATAGGGTAGACACTGGGGCATATAAAGAACTGAACAAAGTCTGTGACTTCATAGTCAGTTCTAATGAGGAAGATAAATACACTGACCTCCAAAATGTGTTTTGTACGGGTTAGTACATAAGGGAGAAAAGCAGAGCCCTTTTAGAAGGAAGAGAAACTGCTAACAAGAGGAGGTTTTTCTTAGGTGCTATCACAGGGAAAGAGAGGTCTTGTGGACATTTGCACATCAATGACGCAAGTAAAGAGACATACATGTAGAAAAGCAGTGATTTGGAAGTGACTGAAATTTTTCAATTTTCTTCTTTTTGTTTCGGTTTTTGAGACAGGGTTTCTCTGTTGCCCAGGCTGTCCTAGAACTCGTTATGTAGAACAGGCTGACCTCAAACACAGAGTGCTGGGGCCTGGCTTACCAGACCTAGCAAAAATTTTCAACTATTACAAAGGTTTCACTGATTTAAAAAAAAGTTTTACTGCAACAATCAGGAGATGAGGCAGGAGTTATCACACACAAGTTTAAAATCAGCTTGAACTCAAGTGAGTTTTAGGCTAACCTGGCCCATAGAATACAACCTTGTCTTAAAATAAATGTTTTAATTTCCAGCACTGAATATATTTATCTATTTAAATTTCTATAGCATTCGAATGTACATACCTCCCTGACGAGGTCCTGTTCCAAGTTATGTCGCCCAAGTAACATTCTTCTCTTGAAGCGGCGGCATTCTAGCTCCAGATACTGCCTTTGACGTCGAAGAAGGTTAGCTTCTTCTTCTGCCTGGAAATGTTGTATATTCTCCTTCTGCTTTGAAAGCCATTCCTGCTTTTCTTTTTTAGGTGTGCTCTGGTTTTCATTCAGCTCCTGGAAACAAAATCAACCAAAAAAATTTAGCTAGATAAAAATTAACTACATGAATGTATAAGGTAACCTGGTACATTTAACCAGTAATGTTTTGAGTTTTGTTACTGTTATTACTATGTAGCCTAGGCTGCTCTTGAATTTACAATCCTCCTGCTTTGGCCTCCCTGGTGGTAGAATTATGTAGTTCTGCATCCTCATGACTAGCTATGATAAAATTTACTTACTTTTCACAATGAAGGGAACTTAAGGTAGGGCTCTGGCCATGAAGGAAGCTACATCCCCAATCAATTACATGGTAAACTTAAAAGTAATAGTGTTTTCTTTCTAACAAGAGCTCAGCTGACCTGGAAAAGTTAAGTAATTTGTTTCTATGTACATCATAATACACGAATAGCTTTAGTTTTTACACAGCTTCATTTTAATGGTTCCTGACTTTAAAGCACAGAATAACTGGCTATTAAGTAAAACTTCAAAAATCTTTCCAAGAAGAGACAGAATTAATTTTAAGTTAGAAAAGAAAAGAAAAAGACAAAAAAATATGTCTTAATAAGAATTAAGGATAGGGCTGGAGAGATGGTTCAGAGGTTAAGAGCTCTGACTGTTCTTCCAGAGGTCCTGAGTTCAATTCCCAGCAACCACATGGTGCCTCACAACCATCTATAATGAGACCTGCTGCCAGCACCTTACATACAAGAAACAAACAAATAAATCTTATAAAAAAAATTAAGAAGAAAAGATTTAAGTATAATTTTAACTCCCTTGTTTTACAAGATTCTAAAAATTTTTTTAATGGAAAAACATTCATATTGGGCAAAACTGAAAAAACAAACAACTAATCATATTACCCAAGGAGATAAACTAAGATGATAATTAATACTGGTAGATTTTTCATCAGAATCCTGAGTACAGGCTTACAGGTGAACAACAACATATCTATTTTTTATTTTACTTTAAGATTTATTTATTATGTATACAGTGTTCCGACTGCACACCAAAAGAGGGTACCAGATCTCATTATAGATGGTTGTGAGTCACCATGTGGTTGCTGGGAGTTGACCTCAATCTCTGGAAGAACAGTCAGTGCTCTTTACCTCTGAGCCATCTCTCCCAGCCCCCACAATACAATTTCTAGATTAAGGAAATGATTCTATATCACTCCTACTCAACTAGAAAACTTAAATAAACTACAGATTATAATTAATGCTTTGATGTAAGCAGATATTTACTTTGTGGCCACAAATAAATCTTTATGCTAACTGCTAAGTAGAGAACTATTAAACACAACTAATAGCAGAAAAACACAAGGAATTTTTGTAAAAGAAGTACCTCCTTAAGCTGCTCTTTTCGAAGTTTATATTCTCTTTTTTGGGACTCCAAAAAGCTATTCAGTTCTTTCTTCTGTTGAGCTTGAATGTGTTGCTGGAATTTTTTCTCCTCATTGGCCATCACTTTAGCCTATATAGAATTTTTTTTTAAAAAATGAATCAAATTAGTTAAGAAGATAAATTTAAAAATCAGTTTAATATCCACCACCAAGAAAGAATACATAGTAGTAGTAGATGAGCAACAGAAGCATCAGAAAACAAACAAAACAACCTAATCAGTTTATCCTTTTCAGTCTAATTTCAGAGATCAGTAGGGTGGATTTATTTTATTTTTAAATGTAGTTACAAAACCAAAATGTTTTCCTCACTTATTGAAAAAGAAAATAACATTTGCCTGGTGGTAGTGGCATAAGCCTTTAATCCCAGCACTTGGGAGGCAGAGGCAGGCAGATCTCTGTGAGTTTGAGGCCAGCCTGGTCTATACAGAGTGAGTTTGAAGGCAGCCAGGGCTGTTACACAGAGGAAACCCTGTCTCAGGAGGGGGGAATATGAGGGAGAGAAACAGAAACAAAAATAATTATGAAAAACTCCAAAACAAGCAAACAAAACCACAAAACCTATATAGTCCCTTCAAGAAATAAAAACAAAATACATATTTATCTTCAAACATAAATGAATAGTTTAATAAATATTTTTAATTACATGTGTATGTGTCTGTGTATAGAGGTATGTGGAGGTGCCTGCTGAGGTCAGAGAAATAAGCTCCTCCTAATGCTGGGGTTACAGGCGTTGTGAACTACCTGATGTGTGAGCTGGAAATTCAACTCAGGATCCCTGAAGTATGTGCTCTTTAATGCTGAGCCATCTCTCAGTCCTCTACCAAGCTTTTTTAGCTGAGTTAATTTATATATTAAAAAATGAGATACATTTATTTTCAAATTAGATCCTTACCTGTAACTCCTATTAAAGTGAATGTTAAATATTACATATGTGTTAAATATAATTTGGGTGGAGTGTGCACTGTTTTGAGCTTGCATATGTGAGTGTGTACAAGTGGAGGCCAGAGGTTGATTCTAGGTGTATTCCATAGTTTATGAGAGTCTCACTGAACTAAGAGCTCATCAATTCAGCTATAATGATCAGCTGTAACATTTTGTCGCAGTCATTCTCTTTTCTAGGGTGTACCTTTAAACTTTTTTTGTTGTTGTTCTTACAGTGCTACAATAAAACCTTGAGTTTGTACATGCTAGGGAAGCACCGTATCATCTCCAGATCCTTGCTGTGTGACTCGGGTTATTTGTAAATTTGCTATGTTTGTTGCTCCAGCTAGCTTTCCTTCAACTTTCAATACTGTCTTTGTCTCACAAATATGCTGGGGGTTACAGTTATGTGCAATGATACCTGGCCTAACCAAGTTTACTTATTTATTTAAAGATAGGTCTTACTGTGTTGCACTGGCTAAACAATTAGCCGAGCTCAAAGTCACAGAGAGCCATCTTCCTCCACCTCCCAAGTGCTGAGGTTAAAGGCATACACTACCACAACTAGCCCGCACAATTATTCATTTGTAAGCCTTTGTTGTTGTTCTTTTGTTCTGTTTTTATTTTTCGAGACACAGCGTTTCTCTGTAGCTTTGGAGCCTGTCCTGGAACTAGCTCTATGACCATCAGCACCCAGAACTACTACATGAAAATAAAACACACCCAATTTTCAGATTCACAATGCACAGATTCATTTACAGAACTAAGAAGAGAAAAAAAAATACAAGAGCCATTTTTGTTTTTGTTTTTTAAACAGAAAGCTTTATACAAATTGTATAAGTGCTTCTCTTTCATGGGTCAATTTACTTAGTTCTTAGGGTTAGATACTTTAAACATCAAAATGCTGACCCAAATCATTCAGAGACGGACACAGTCTAAAAGAAATAAATAATATTAGTCACCTCTTTTTCCATAGCAGCTTGGTGTTTCTTGATAAGTTTCTCCATTTCTGCAGCAAAATTGTTACGCTGAGTTTCAAGGTCTTTGTCTAATCTTAGACGGTGTTCATCCATCTCTGCCTTTAGTTTATTTTCCAGAGTCATCAGCTGCTTTTGATGCTGCCGCCTCATCCTCTTATAACCAGACATCTGTTCTCTAAGTTCAGAGTCCTGTTCGTGCTCTTGCATCTGTCTTGTAACCTAGACACAAAATTGAGAAAAAAAGACCAAGTAAAACATTTTTCCCCACATAAGAATTTAGAAAGCTGGGCATGGAGACATAGGTCTATAATCCTAGTGTTTGCTTGGCTGAGATAAGGAATCGCCAAGAGTACAAGTCCAGATAGTGTGTGTGTGTGTGTGTGTGTGTATATATATATATAAAATGAGTCTAAGGCCAAGTCAAATCTTTTATGTCGTAAGACCCTATTTCTACTAAACAAAATAACAGTGATAAAGCATTTAGAACATTTCTATTACCTAAAGAGGTATTTAACCTAAGAAATGCCATTACAATTGTCAGGCTTGAAGGCAATTTTCTTTCCTGGCCCCACTTTACCTTTTTTTTTTTTTTTTTTTTTTGAGACAGTCTCTCACTGAACTTTGAGCTTTTCTGATTCAGATAGACAAGGTGGCCATTGAGCTTCCGGGATCTGGACATCCTCACTTCTTAGTACTATTATTACAGATGTGAGTTGCCATAGCTGGCTTTTTACATGTGTGCTGGGGATCCAACTCAGGCTGTTGTTTTCTTTTTCAGACAGGGCTTCTCTGTGTAGCCCCAGCTGTTCTGGAATTAGCTCTGTAAACCAGGCTGGCCTTGAGTGCAAAAGATCCACCTGCTTCTGCCTTCCAAGTGTTGGGGATAAAGGCATGTACCACCACCACCCAGCCAACTCATGTGCTTATGCTCATGTTGCAAACACTTTATTAACTGAGTCTTCTTCCTAGAACCACAAACACTATGTTCTTGACTGCACATAATATAGTTTCATGGCCATATAGCACTATGAGACTGGCAAACCAGACAACTCAGAAAGCTTTATTTTGTTGTGTGGTGTTTGGGATAAAGGTTTGGAGTAAATGATTTAAGTGCTCTACTATTGATGTAAATTGTCAACCCTTGCTTTGTTTTGTTTTCTTCAGACAAGGTCTCAACTAGGTAGCTCAGATTGGTCTTGAACTCGAGATCCTTCTCTATCAATCTTTTAAGTGCTAGAATTACAGGCATATGCCACTATGCTATATATTCTCTTTTGTTGTTGTTTCTGCCTGCCTCTGCCTTCTGAGATTAAAGGCATGCACCACCACAGCCCAGCAGTCATGCTATATATTCTAATAACATAATCATGATATCTTTATGTACTTTCCTTTTAACTTGAGAATCTTTTACCATGCTTTGTTCTACAGGGTCTTACTGTGCAGCCATGGCTGGTCTCAAACTCACAGAGATCCACCTGCCTCAGACATCTGAATGCTGGGATTAAAGACATGTACCACAACTGGTTACTTTTAAAATCTCTTACAATTTTATGTATTTTTTACCAGTGGGGATCTTTGGAGGAAGAGTGAGACTATCAAAGCAATCATGCTTATGATTTTGGCCAGTATCCCAAGAAACAGAAAAGGAAACATTATACTTTTTTAGTTAGAACTCAAAAAAGTGGACAGGCTTAGCAATGAAGACCTGCAAGCATGGCTGGAACATGATTTTAAATGTTCCATAATATATTTGTAATGGAAAAATACCCATATTCATTGTTTTTTTTTTTTTTTGGAAAACAGAAATTACATTTAGAGCATAGTAATACAATCAACTGCAATTTTCAACAGTTCCTTCTTTTTGGCAACTCTAGCCATATATCTTGAACAAAGTTTGTGCTAACACATCTGAAATGTTAATTTTATGCAGCAATACACTGATTCTCTTCTCTGTGCCTAAAACCTAACAACTTGATACTGCTTAAAAAAAAAGTATTAAAATTTATTTAATTTTAATTAATATTTTGTAGGTCTCTTACACATTCTAAAATATTTACTACATGAATAAATATCAATACATTACTAGTTCAATATTTCTTAGAGTGCTTTCTTCTAACAGGGAAATTAAACATTGAATGTTTTACAAAATAAATACCAAAGAAATAAGAAAGTTAAATATATTTGAGTCGATGCTACCAATATAACAAAGATACTCATTTTGGACAGGTGAATACATACCAGTGATGCCGTTCGTATGGTTGCAAAGTGTTCTCTATTACGATAATGTGATTTGTGACGGGACACTTGAGGTGGAGACTGTGGATCTGATGCTCTTGTTCTAGGATCTCCTTCTTCTCTATAATTTTCCTCCTCCTTAATAGAGAAAGAGAGTGACAGAGAAAATATTTTGTAAAGTGAATTTTTTGAGGTTTCAAGGAAAAGACTAAAGACAATTTTAATCAATAACTTCAAAGAAACACGATTTTACAAAGCAGAAAGAGAAACTAAAAATACTATTATTGTCAACACAAGCTGAGTTAGCTGAAATTACTTCCATAGTGTGTGAAAAAGTACAGATTCAACAAACAAAATATACAGTTTTATATTCTATATATTATATATCAACCGAAAAGCTTGAGCTGGAGAGATTGCTCAGTAATAAACAGCAATTCTTGCACAGGACCCAAATTTAATTCCCAGCACACATCGAGCGGCTTATAAACACCTTTGACTCCAGTTTCAGGGGATCTGACACCTCTGGCAACTCTACTCATTTGTATGTACCCCCACATATACACATATTTTAAAATAAAAATAAAACTGAAAAGCTTTAATGTAGCTTAAAAACAAAATAGTACAGCATGTAATCAATGTTTCAAATGATGGTGATTAAAAAATTAAATACGTGTGAGTTTTATAAGCAATGCAGTTTAATACTACTTTGTTGTGTTTTGATTATAGACAGGTCAAACTATAAGTTTAAGATTATATTTATAATATTTCTGTCATTTGTCTAAAATAAACAATTTTAAGAGATGCACCACAGCCACACAGCAATTAATGTTTTTTAAGATTTATTTTCATTTATTTTTTAAAATGTATTAATTTTTATTTTATGTGCCTACATGTATGTCTGTGTGAGGGTGCCAGATACCCTGTAGACAGTTGTGAGCTGCCATGTGGTTGCTGGGAATTGAACTCAGGACCTTTGGAAGAGCAGCCAGTGCTCTTAACTGCTGAGACATCTCTCCAGCCCCAGTAAGATCTCTTTTAAGTTCCAGGTCAGCCAAGGCCACATAGCCAAACCTTGTCTTTAAAAAAAGAAGTTAACAATTTTTCCTTTGGCCATTACAATTGGCACCAATTACATTTTCAATGTTATAAATCTATCAACACTTTATATCACCTCAAATAGAAACTTTCTTTCTTTTTTGGTTTTTTCGAGACTGGGTTTCTCTGTACCTTTGGAGCCTGTCCTGGAACTAGCTCTTGTAGCCCAGGCTGGCCTCGAACTCAGAGATTCACCTGCCTCTGCCTCCCCTCCGGAGTGCTGGGATTAAAGGCGTGTGCACCACGAGTCTCCCTCCAATGGAGATACTGAAACTAAACTTTTGATCTGCAAACCAGCCCCAATTAAATATTTTCCTTGATAAGAGTTCCCCTGATCTTGGTGTCTTCACAGCAATAAAACCATATATATATACACACACACACACACACACACATATATATATATGTATGCACGCACACTATAATTTCTTTATTCACCCATTTGTTGGTAGGCATATGGTTGTTCCCACTTCTTAGTAATTGTGTCTAGTAACTTCTAGATAAAACCACAGCTTTAAAATTAAAAAGATCATTCTCAGATGGAGGGGCAGGAGGACTACTGTAAGTTTAAGATCAGTCAGGACTATGCAGCAAAACTCAGTCTTTAAAAACCCAGAAATCTTAAGAATATGTTTTTGTTGCTGTTGTTGTTCAAGGTTTCTCTGTTTAACAGCCCTAGTTGTCACGGAACTTGTTTTGTAGACTATGCTGGCCTCAAACTCACAGAGATCCACCTTCCTCTGCCTCCACAGTACTAGGATTAGAGGTGTGAGCCACTACTGTTTGTCAGAACATTTCTATATTAAGTTCTCCTGCCAAGAGTTACCTGACTTGTCTTTTTTTCCTAGTATTGAGAACTGAATCAAAGATGACCAACCCAGCCTGCTTTGAACTGAACTCAGGGTCACATGTATGGTAGGACAGCACTCTAACACATTTAATTTACACTTAAAACTGCAAAGGAGAACTGTGAAGACAGTACAACTGAGAGACCTTGCTTCTAAGCTAAGGTGGAGTGATCAACGAAAAGTGTTCAATCTGGGGCCTCAACATGTGGAAACATACCAACATATGACATGCACAAAAAATTCAGCAGAGAATATAGCAAACACTGACATTTACTAAATCCTAAATTTGCAAATTTATTGTTGTATTTTAAATATAAAAGTGGATACTGATACGCAGCGGTGAAACATACCTTTAATCCCAGCACTCAAGAGGCAGAGACAAGCAGATTTCTATGAGTTCAAAGACCAACCTGGTCTACACAGTTCTATAACAGCAAGGGTGGTCACACAAAGAAATTCTGTCTCGAAAAAAAAAAAGGGTGGGGGGCGGGAGGAATACTA